CTAAGAAGAATATATGCAGTGTATTATTTGTTGAAACTGTACTTTCGATTTGATTTGAAACTGTCTCATTGCTATATGTTTATCAATAAAACTTTGAAAAAAAATGAAAAAAAAAATAAGTCTTAATATCCAAATATGGACAAGAGAATACGGACAAGCCTCATAAAAAGTTAACATATACAAAGTTAAAACACATACCCATTGTGTGACCTCATCATTCCACTTTCTGACAGTCAAGAGAAACAAAATATCCACACAAAGACTAGTATATGAATGTGCACAGGACCTATTCAGCTCAGTGAGTGGCACAGGGCCTACCTGGCAAGTTGGGGTTCATGAGTTCAATTCCTGGTACCAAAATAATAATAATAATAATAATAATAATAATAATGTAACAGCCTCAATTTAAAAACCCAAATGTCCATCAAGGATTAATAAATGATTACTGGGCACGGTAGCACAGGACTGTAATCCCAGCACTCGGGAGGTTGAGACAGGAGGATTGTGTGGGGGGCAACAAACAAACATCATCAAGTTTGTGTTCTCTAAAACCAAAGAATGAATTTTAGGAACAAACAGAGGTTACGAGCAGAATACATTGAGGGAAAGAAAGCTCCTCTCCGACAGACAGAAGGGTGACCCTCCCCGAGTGGGTGGTCCCTGGGAAGCTGTCTCTTCCAGGGACTTTTATAGAGGAAAATGGTGAGGCGGGTCTAAGGTGGTGTCGAAGACACGGGAACTCACATAGGTGGGACAAGACTGTGGTCAACCAATGAGATTACAAACCCATTGCTCAGGTAAAACTGATTAAATACAGTACCAAAGGTGGAAGTGAGTCACATAGCAAGTGGGATAGGGTTTCTTCCAGTTGGGGGTTGGAACAGTGACTCATGTGGGCTCTTTCAAGGTGACTGACACCTATTTAGAATATCAATCCCTGATGCCCATCCCTAGGAAAGTATGTAGCTGTGTTTGTTTCCTCTTCTATCTTGAGGTCTGGCCTATATGGGAGTGTCTGTCCCTTCCAAGTGGCAAAGTCACCTTGTCTTCTATCTTGTCTCCTTGAGGGCCTGGCTGCCTATAATATTTCTATCTAATTCAGCTGCCTACAACATTACCTGACGTTTTTATTTACAGTATTTGTCTGGTGTCAGGGACCTCACGCAGAGTCTCCTGCGTGCTAAGCACATATTATCAAGCGACATCTCAGCCTGAGTTGTTTTTTTTTTTCCAAAAAGGCTAATAGTTATATCTTCAGGCTGTTCACGGACTGAACCAAAGACCGCAGCATAGTCAGCAGGGACTGTACTATTGAGTTATACCACTACCCCATACACACCTCATTCAGTCGCCTTAAGCATATCACCTAGTTACTGTCAGCGGGAATACTGATCTTCTAACATGCCTACACTTACCTGCTTCTATTGGGAAAGCTGTTCTTCGCCAAAAGCTGCCTACCCCAGCTCCATCCTGTGGCCCTAATTCATAACCACCACGATTCGTACCTTCTAAATTAGCAGGTACTGAAACCTGAAACCAACTCACACCATGCTCAGACCTTCTCCTGCCTCCTTTGCGAACCCCGCCCTGGCCCCAGCCCAACACAACCCGAGGCATCGGCAGAACTGAAAGCTCTCAAATAGGCGCAAAAGAAAACACACCCGGACCCCAACTTGGCAAGGGGAACCTAAGCCGGGAGCAGAGTCCACCCCAGAGACTCCCAGGCGCAGCACGCTCGCGGAGCCGGGAGGAGCACGCGCCAGCCCTCCGGCGTCTCTGATTGGTCGGCGGCTGCGCGTGGCACGCTGGGCGTGTTGCGTCACATCCGCCGGGGCCGCCATCTTGGTCCCAGGGGCAGTTGGCGGAAGAGACCGCGCTCCCCGGACGCCGACTTGTCTTCTGGAGTTCTCCCTGGCCGCGTCTTGGCGTCTGCTCTCGGCTCGAGATCCGTTTGCCGGCGTCCCGCTTGCCCTCCTCGCCTGGCCGGGGCGCAGCGGGGCGGCTCTTTCTCCTGACGGCGGTCCATGGAGTAGCGTCCCGGACCGTTGTCCCGAAGAGCTAGATCGAGCTGGGCCCCCTTCCCCCTCCCTTGTCCCTCCCTCCCTCCTTCCGCCGCAACATGGCTAACAACAGCCCGGCGCTGACAGGCAACTCGCAGCCGCAGCACCAGGCGGCCGCGGCCGCGGCCCAGCAGCAGCAGCAGTGCGGCGGCGGGGGCGCCACCAAGCCGGCCGTCTCCGGCAAGCAGGGCAACGTGCTGCCGCTGTGGGGCAACGAGAAGACCATGAACCTCAACCCCATGATCCTGACCAACATCCTGTCGTCGCCGTACTTCAAAGTGCAGCTGTACGAGCTCAAGACCTACCACGAGGTGGTGGACGAGATCTTCTTTAAGGTACGGAGCGTCTAGGCCTCGGGGGTAAGTTGGGGAGCGGGCTGCGGAGGAAACCGGCGGAGGCGGCCCCCGAGATCCGAGCGTCGGAGGGTGGGGACGGCGGGCCGAAGGGGAGCCGCGGCCCGGAGCCTGTCGGGGAGGTCGAGCTGCGGCCGCCCGCCCTCTCGCTTCCTTTTCTGATTTTTAGGGCCCGGAGAGCCCGCCGCTAGCGACCTTTTTCTCCTCCCTAAACCTGCCTCCCCTCGGGGTGTGCTGGGCGAGAGGGGTAGGAAAGAGGGCGAGAGAGTAGCCGAAGCCTCTCCGGTGCGCATCTTTAAAATTATTCCTTTTGACGTGGATCTCCTAAGCGCCAACTTGGGGGGCCTCTCCCGCTCACCCCGGGCCAGGGCGTGTAAGGTCTTGAGTGTGGCCCCCTGTCGTGGGTGCTCTCCGGTGCACACAGGGACACGGTCGGTGCGTGTGTCGGGCGGGGCGGGAGGGCCGCGGGCGGAGCGGTGCCAGGGCTCGAGGTGTACGGAAGGCCTGGAAATTCTCCCAGCAGGAAGTCAGGAGTGTGAGGTTCAGCCACCTGTGCGTTGGCAGATTATAGTCATCTGGGCCCTGGGCTTCTGCGGCAGGGTCGGTGCTGGCTTGGCTGTGCTGGGGAGCTCACCTGGCGCCTCCTCACTGCACTCTTGTCTCAGTTCTTGTTTCGTTAGCAGGATTGACTCAGTCTTGCAGCGAGGCTCGGAGCAGCCCAGGGTCGCAGGTAGAGGTATGCACTATTAATCATGCTCAATCGCCATAAATGCATTTCCCTGGTTAAATGAACAGCTGATTCGACTTTTTTTTCTTTTTCTTTTTCTTTTTTTTTTCGGCCATTTGTTTTGGTCTTTACAAACTAGGTGGGCGTTCTGCACTTCCTTGCAGATTATGTAGTTTGAAAATATCTTCCAGGCCTCCTAAGTTTAATTTATATTTTAAAATAATAATAACCTCAACGGTCTTTAAACACCTTAGCTAGAGCATCTAATATATGTACTGTTTGACATTTAGAACTTGAGATGGACTACGACCTGTTTTCTGTTACCTGAATCTTCAGTGGAGATGTCAGCAGAAGGGCATTGCTTGTTTGCCCATCCCTTCCCCATAGTGTTTTGTTTGCTGAAAGGTTTTTGAGTTACTAGTTGGGTGTTTATAGGAAACATTTTAAATGAGTGATATTTTGAGCGACACAGTCCAACTTTGGGTACACAGATTTGGTGTTCTCTTCAAGAGTCTGTGGTACTATAGGTCCAACTGTAATACCCTGAAATATGTTTTCGCTAGCTTGTAACAGGTAAGGCCTTTTCCGCATGGATGTAGTATGGCAAATGATACTTAACCATTAAGTTTATTTATACAGTAAACTTCAAACAGTTGAAAATTGAGTTCCTACTTTTGTGGCAGGTTGTTTTAAAACAGGCAATTGCTAATGTGATAAAGGGGAAAGTTTGATGTTATGAAACAGCTTAACATTCAGTTTTTAAAGTAATAACCCAGATTTATTGAAACGTAAGCTTTTGTATATTAATTTTTTTATTCTATCTACTACTTACAATGGCTAGCCTTTAAGGAGTTAAAATATGCTTGAACAGCAAGCTGGGGGATGGAAAATAGTAAAGCACTGCAGGAGCTGGGCAGAGCACAGCGCTTAGGTTAAATACAGGCTTTGTGTCTGAAGTCACAGAAAAGGACCATAAAATATTAGCTTATTGCTTGGAAATATACTTCTAGAAGTAGAGTAAAAGAACATTTTTTAATATTTGGTTTAAGAAGCAAAAAATAGGTCTTAGCTTTCCAAAAGGCCTTCTTGGCTTCTACTTTAGAGAATTTGTTAAAGCTATTTTTAGCTAAAGCTGTTTTTTTTTTCTTTTTAATAGGAAACTCACTAGTAAAAATGATAGTCATTTTCAATTATATTTAGCATATACTAAAGACTATTCACTTTCAGTTTTTGATAGTTTATAGGAGAAATTAGATTAATCCATATAATGAGGCTGAAAATGAATTATAATAAGAATGATCTCTACATATGTCTTTTGTGATTTGATCTTTAATCAGAAATGAACTATCCTGGTGAAAAAGTGTCTAAAGTTCCGTAATTTTGTGTCAAAAGTTAATACTGTTTTAGAGGGTTTTTTTCATGTTCTGTGTTTTACAGTATGTATTTTAAGTCACCATAAAATTGTACTATTGATGGCTTTAACTTTTTTCAAATTAATACTTAAATGTCAACTTATTTAAAAGTATTGGAAGCTTAAAATCATTTTAAAATGAGAATGTGTTAATTTCTGAGCAGCTGCAAGATGCAAGGGTTGAAATAATACCCAGTATTCTTTGCAAGTATGTGAGGCTTTAGCAATTTCCTGACTCCCACATGATTTCTGCTCTGCAAACGTGTTAAGATTTGTTAGATCTCAGCAGTTCATGCTTGCTTTGGCAGAGCACAGGCTAAATCTCATAGTTTAGTGGTGTTCTGTAATTGTGTTAAGCAGTTTTCCCAAAGATGATTTCCATGAGTAAAAAATAATGCTAACATAATGGCAGAATACTTTTGGCAGTTGCTGTATTATGGATTTGGGTTTACTTTAATCAAACTTCAAACAATTCCAAGTATGAATGTTTGTTGTGTTCTTCTTTTCTATTTTCAGGTCACACATGTTGAACCATGGGAGAAAGGGAGCAGGAAAACAGCTGGCCAGACAGGGATGTGCGGAGGGGTAAGTAGAAGTACGTGCATTTTTTAGTTTTTTTCTGTGTCTGATACCTAAAGGATAAGTCATTGGCAGATCTTAGAATTTCAAGGAAATGTTATGTTTCCAGTGAAGTAGGGTTAGAAAAAGTGATTTTCTTTCTAATGGTCCACTCTTAGTTCTGTATTATGGTTTTTTAATGTGTTAAAAATCTTACTTTTTCTTAACTCTTTCCTCTTAAGGTTCGAGGTGTTGGAACAGGAGGAATTGTTTCTACTGCCTTTTGCCTATTGTACAAATTATTTACTCTAAAGTTAACTCGTAAACAAGTGATGGGTCTTATAACACACACAGACTCTCCATATATTAGAGCCCTTGGATTTATGTATATAAGGTGAGCATGCATTTATTTACATTTTAAATAAATAATATTATTTTAGTTCACATAAACTTAATTATCTCCCATAATTCTAGGTATACACAACCCCCTACAGACCTGTGGGACTGGTTTGAATCCTTCCTCGATGATGAAGAGGTATGTCAATGAGGGTAATAATTCATTTTCTTCTGATTACTCTCATACTTCTAATATCTTTTATTTATTGGAGTTTTAATGTCTTCCAGAATTTTCTATAGTTAAATTTATTTCATCCATACTTTTGGAACTGTTGTCCTTTTACTAAGATATGGTGGCTTTTATATATCTTAGTTTTTCGGGTTTCTTTTTTTAGTTTTTTTTTTTTTTTTAATCATTCAAGTGTGTTTAGGTAATTACTGAAAACTTTCTTCCTAATTACGCTTAGTGTATTGTTTTGATCTTGTTAAAGTGACAGCGACTTGTAAAGTGGTGTGTGAGTTTGATAGGAGAATGTACACAGAATAGTAACTGTAGGGGGTTTCCTTCTGGAACTCTTAATGCTTCAGTCTCTAACCTCTTGCATATATAATATTTCCACTTGCATGGAACTGCATAATTAGAGGGCTGGTGTGACTTAATAGTCTGAGAATTGAGGTGACTTGTTATGGTGACAAAATAAATCCAAGCTTTTACCTTTTTTGTTGTTTTTTTTTTTTTTTTTTTCTTCTCTTCCTGAGACAGGGTCTCACTGTAGTTCAAGCTGACCTGGAACTCATGACAGTCCTCCTGCCTCAGCCTCCCAAGTACTAGGATTATAGGCATGCATCAGTATACCTGGCTTTTTTGTTTTGTTTTTAATGAAGTCTTGCTGTGTTGCCCAGGCTGGCCTTGAACTGCGGTCCTCCTGCCTCAGCCTCCTGACCTCCTAGGTAGTTGGGATTACAGGCATTCACCATGCCTGGCTAGTTCTTGCTTTCTGACTCTAGTGTGCTACACACGCTGTATGAGAAACAAAGCAAGGGCTGGGATGTAGCTTGGTGTAGAGTACTTGCTAGCTTGTTTGAGGCCCTGGGTTTGATGCTCAGTACCACAAAGAGTAGTAATTTAGGTTGTTTAAAATTTTAAATCTCCTTTGCCATCCAGAGCCTGACTTAATAGAAAAGTTACTTTAGGAAACTACTGAATCAGATTAAATTATGCGTGTATTAATCTGAAGTCTTAGATACCAAAATGTGCTCACTTACAAGCTGTCTTATCTATATATCAACTCACACCATGACTTTTATAGTTCATAAAGAAGCTTATGATGCTGATGTAGTAGTCCTCAGAAGTTCAAAGAAAAAATTTGCTGGATTAAAGAATAATTCTAGTAGAAATCTTTATTATTTCTAGTTTTTTGCCTATTAAACTTGAGTTTTAAAAATCAGAAGCAATGAATACTTTAGATGATAATGCCAGTCTTTAGTTTTAAATGGTCATTCCTAAGCCACAGTGTTTCTCTTATTTTCAAAAACGCATGTCCCTCTGCATAATTGTTGTACTGGGTTTGTTTCTGAATGCTTCTATTTAATCTGTTTTATATTGTTTACAAATCATGAGGTCCTCTAAGCTAACTTATGTTTTCTTCCTTAGATATCTGCAGCGATTATATTTGGAAATACTGTATATCTGAACACTTAAATGTGTGTGAGTGCAAGCAGTTTTACCTTTAGCTCTTGTTTTCTGTTTAGATAACAAATCTCACTTTCCTTGTGTGCTTGCACTATAGGTTTGGGACTGACAATAGCTGACTAACATGTCCTGAGCTGTGAGAGGGCATAGCAAGAAGGCCTTCATGCGGTAATGACCCTTTTCAGAGACAATGGTCATCATGGATTATGCGTTTCCAATTATTTGTTCATTTATTTATTTTCTACATAACTTTAAATTAGAAACCTCACTGCTTCATGGCAGTTGGTTTGCTATTGCTTCCAGTTTTATTAGGGCTTCATTTTGTATTACAGCTTTAAAAGATAACGTTACACAGAAGTTGTCTAAAGTAGTTCATGCTAGCTAGGTCTCAGCGCTAGGTGTGATGTGCCCTACTGTCCACAGAAATGTTACTTAGCAGGGATGTGGGATACAAATTTAAGTCAGTTATTCCACACGGTTTAGTAATACACGGAGTCTTTTCATGTTCTTGTTAACTGAGTGAGATCCGTTCCCTTTGTGCCCATGTGGCTGCAGGGTTCATTCTCACCTGCATGAATACAGTAAGCCCAAGTATTTCCTATGCCATTCATTTTTAGATTGGGGTTCAAAAAAATTGAAATTCTTGTTAGACTGTTTTTGTACTTGAGACTCCACAGATGGTAAAAAAAAATTTAATATTCAAATACAGCGAAATACCTTTTTGACGGTTAGGGTATCTTTTGTGTTTCCTAGGACCTAGATGTGAAGGCTGGTGGTGGCTGTGTGATGACAATCGGGGAGATGCTGCGGTCTTTTCTCACAAAGCTCGAATGGTTTTCTACCTTGTTCCCGAGAATTCCAGTTCCAGTTCAGAAGAATATTGATCAACAGATTAAAAGTCGACCTAGGAAAATCAAGAAAGATGGCAAGGAAGGTGTTGAGGAAATAGAAAGACATGTTGAACGCAGACGTTCAAGGTAATGTAACAGGTTATATGGGATTTTTTAAGGTTATGTTTTCTACGGAGTTGGTGATTGTTGAAAACTAAAGACAAGTTCTTATGTTTTCTTATACCATTTATTAGTTTGTCTCACATACATACGGAAGTTGATTTTGTTTCATTCAAGGCATTTTCATTTTTCTTTTTTTTTTTTTTCCCTTTCCATTCAAGGCATTTTCAACAAAGTTGTACATCTGAGAGCAAAAAGAAAAAGTTTTTTCTGATGTTGGGGAACCTAGCCAGGGCTTTGTGCACACTGGGCAGGTGTTCTGTTGCTGAGCTGCACCCCACCCCAGCTTTAGTTGTGTCTGCCTCTAGTAGTAGGGATTGAGCTCAGGAGCCTTGTATGTGCTAGCCACGTGTTTTACCACTGAAGTATCCCCAGCCGATTTATTTTTTTTTTTATTTTTTTTTACATTTTATTTAGTGTGTGTGTGTGTGTGTGTGTGTGTGTGTGTGTGTGTGTTAAGCTCAGCCCACCAGGGGGCGTGGCTGGCTGGCATGTGGTGCTGGGGGATTGAACCGTGGTCCCTGTGGTTTGCTAAGCTTGTTCCAAGTAGGTGCTTTAGACCACTGAGCCATCCCTCCAGCCCCCCAGCCGATTTATTTTTGAGATAGAGTTTTAAGTTGCTTGGGCTAAGCTTCAGTTTGAAATCCTATCTCAACCTCCTAAGAAATACTCTTGGTGTGTATGTACTCTGAGACCTGAATATGCTGATGAAATGTTTACATTATGTTTGGCTGTTTTTGTTTGGTGTGGCATGTTTAACCCAGGGCCTTGAGCGGGCTGCTTTCCAGTCTTAAAATATATTTTATTCATTGGAATTTCCTTTCTTCCCTCTCTTAGATCTCCCAGGAGGTCACTGAGTCCACGGCGGTCCCCAAGAAGATCAAGAAGTAGAAGTCATCATCGAGAGGGCCATGGGTCTTCTAGTTTTGACAGAGAATTAGAAAGAGAGAAAGAACGTCAGCGACTAGAGCGTGAAGCCAAAGAAAGAGAGAAAGAAAGGCGAAGATCCCGAAGTATTGATCGAGGGTTAGATCGCAGACATAGCAGGAGTAGAGAAAGGCATAGAAGTCGCAGTCGAAGTCGTGATAGAAAAGGGTATAGAAGGGACAGGGATCGGGAAAGAGAGAAAGAAAATGAGAGAGGTAGAAGACGGGATCGAGACTATGATAAGGAAAGAGGTAATGACAGAGAAAAGGAAAGAGATCGATCAAGAGAACGGTCCAAGGAACAGAGAAGTAGGGGTGAAGTAGAGGAGAAGAAACATAAAGAAGACAAAGATGATAGGAGGCATAGAGATGAAAAAAAAGATTCCAAAAAGGAGAAAAAACACAGTAGAAGTAGAAGTAGAGAAAGGAAACATAGAAGTAGGAGTAGAAGTAGAAATGCAGGGAAACGAAGTAGAAGCAGGAGCAAAGAGAAATCAAGTAAACATAAAAATGAAAGTAAAGAAAAATCAAATAAACGAAGTAGAAGTGGCAGTCAAGGAAGAACTGACAGTGTCGAAAAATCAAAGAAACAGGAACATACCCCCAACAAAGAAAAATCTAGAAAGCGTAGCAGAAGCAAAGAACGATCCCACAAACGAGATCACAGTGATAGTAAGGACCAGTCAGACAAACACGAGCGACGGAGGAGCCAAAGTATAGACCGAGAGAGCCAAGAAAAACAGCATAAAAACAAAGACGAGACTGTGTGAAGATTTTTGTAAAAGTGGATCATATTGAATCCTATGAATGTTTGATTAAATCTGCTTTTTCTTTTTTCCAAGTTGAGATTGTGCCGTAGTTACACACTCTTCAAGCTCCCTATTTTAGGATGCGTTTTCATTCTTTTGTGTAGGGAAGTGCCTTTGTAATCCCGTTTATTGCATTGATGTTTCACCCAGATGTTGAGTTTGCTACATGATGCACAGATTGTTCTTGCATTTTTATTGTTTTTAAAATGTACAGTCTGTACATATGTCCTGAAAATGTTTTAATTCTTTTGGCATGGTTGCCATGTTGGTTAAATTTGTATAAGGCAATAAACTGCCACTAATTCTATTTTTGTTTTGTAGGTGTGGGGTTATGGTTTGTTGTACTGAAGTTAGCATGGCTGTGCTTTTCATAATAGAATGCTAAAGACTTTAGGAATGGATCTTGGATGTCTTACTATAGGAGAATTACGTGCTTTCGATGTACATGAAGGCAGCAGTTCTAGGATTAACATTCTTGTCCACTGTATATTATCTTGAAAGGCTCTTGTTAATATGTTATACTTAATATTCTCCACAGTTAACTTTAGAGAGAACTTACGAAACTTTACGGATGCAGAGGTTTAAATTAGGCTGTGATTTGATCAAAAGTCCTTTTAGCATTCTACCTCAAAGGGACACTGTTAGTATGCCTAAATTTTATTTAGTTTTCCCTTTTTTTATTTGGAAAAACTACATGACATGTAATTTTTTCGTTCTTGAATTCTTCCTCAGATTTTTAAAGTACTATATTAAATGTCTAAAGCCTAGCATTCTTGCAACAACCTATACTAACGTAATCGGGAGAGGGTGGGGCAGATGAGTAGACGAACAGATTCAAGCCTCAAGCTTCCAAAGCATTTTTATAAGTGGAAATACCTAAATTATGAAACGGCTTGATAGAGTGTCCTTTTTTTTAAATTCAAAACTTTTTTTGATAATGAAGGTTGCTGTTTGAGTTTTTAAACTTACTCTAGTCAAGTATTAAAAGTAATGCTATGCTGCATTATTTAAGACTATCAGCAAATTATTTGATAGATTGTTCTTATGACTTGTATTCTGATGACAGAACCATCATGAGTGTGGAATAAATACTGGATTAAATCCTTTCTCCTGGGTGTTGGCTTTTCCCCCATTTGTTGACATTTTTTAAATGTTTTTATTGTGGAAATTCATAAAATGTCAGTGGAATCGGAATTTTATGTAGAGAGATACTTGGTGCCCAGGTGACAAGTGAATTTTAAACTTTCAGGCTGAATTGGATATATGTGATAGTCAACATCTTTATCATAATTCTTAATGGCATTTTGCTTCGTTAGTGGATGTTATGTGTCACTGCGGTGATCTTTTGATTAATTTGTTCCAGATTAAAGGTGCTTACATGATATCACATGGACTGTAAAAATTTGGATCTGAAGGAAATTTCATAACTCATTCTTTTTAGAGCAGAAAATATAGGTGCAAAGATGCAGGCGGCATCAGTGCCAGGACGAAAGGTGTTCCTGATGGTAGAGCGCTCCAGTACACACACCAACATTTGTTTAACCCAGTGTTTGCCTTGGCCGTGAAGGACACTCAAGCCGCCCTGCAGAGATCCACTTGCAAGTCCTCCACTGTGGGCTGATAATTTGTACCTAATTCCATTTAAGAAAAAAGCTCATTAAATGAAGGATTTCCTCTACAAAAATGCTATGCTTTTTTTTTTTTTTTTTTTTTAGTGCTGGATATCTTCCAACCCTAGATCTGATGCATGCTAGTTAGTGGTCTACTGCTAGGGTATAGCCTGTCCCAGTTTAGGACCTCTTGAAGCTGATTTTGTAGAAAGAAAATGCATCCTGATACCTGGTCTTTTTCTAAAAATTTTGTATCCTTTGATATTTCCTTGGCACTTTTGCAGATACCTCTAAAAGGGCATTTTTCATTCTGAATCGTACATGTTTGTTACAGGGAAGCTGACAGCATGAATATTAATTGAAAAACAGCGTCATAGCTACTTAGAATCCCTTCCATCCTCAGCATTGTTAGTCAAGGAATTCCTACTATTAAATCTATATTGTAGCACACAGATGAAAATTACTCAGGTGTGCAGGAGTTCCTCAGCTTATTGCAAGAACAGCTGACTAAAGCATCTTAGTATGCACAAGCCATGGGACTTGCATATTGACAAAAGCAAAAGTCAAATCTTTCCCTAAGCTTTCTTGACCTGCAAACTGGTTTGTGGACATGAAAGTTAGCAAACCAAATGCACCCTTTGTGTGCAAGTCATTTCAGTACTTTTGCCAGCTGGAATAGGTTTAACAGCTAGCTACCTGCAGAGGATGCTGCAAATGCCTTTTTAAAATTAAGGATTTTGGGGGGGGAGGGGTTGGCTCAGGCTGCCTTAAGGGCGGGTCTGGTAAGGCAGGTGAACTGGGGATCTGATCGCAGTACCCTGCAGATGGCATTTGTAGTCCTGTGTGTCTCTAGTGTGTAGGGGCCAGTAGGATAGCCAGGGCACCCACTAAGCGCTCTTCAGTTCCATCACGTTGAAGCAAGAGGAATTTCCATCAAATATGTAGATACTGCCAGCTTCCCAGCCAGCCTTGCTGGTGTTCAGCAGGTGGCTCCCCAGTGAGTTTCAGCAGCACCCCACCCCATTCCCAGGGAGCATCAGTACACATTGGGGTGCCCTAGTTGGTTCTGTTGTCAACCCCTGTTCTGCAGCCACAGCCTTCAGCCCCTCAGTCAATAGAGGGCCACAGCTGGACCCTTTCCTGCAAAGTCAATCTGTCTTGGGAACCTCAGATTTGTTCTTTGTCCCCGCTGTCTCAACCCTCGAGTTATTTAGTGCCTACTCCATGTCTTAAGTTCTCTTTTTTTTTTGTTTTTTCTGTTTTTTTTT